ACCCGGATTGACACCTCTAGTCTGGTGGCATGTAAACTGAAAGATTTTCGATTTACAAGGCAGTAACGTTTAATGAGTAGATGGCTAAATTCAAATTTCATGACCAATTGGTTACATCTATAATTTATATATTCCATCATCTCATATGTATATTTAATAGGAGAATAATAAATAAAAAGAAAAAATCGATAAATGTAGAACGAAAAACAAGAGAGATTAAATTGTAGTGCCTCAAGTTGTCCAAAAGGTTTTTACATCTAGACTGTGTTCTTGAAAATGTCTATTTTATTCTTGCCATGGCTATACGTAATTCTAAATACGATGTATTGGAGAGAAATTTTTGTTAGACATTTACACGCTAACTTTTTAGTGAAATCCACGTTGACATTGGAGATGCTATGAAGCGACACTAATGCTATAGAATTAGATATCTGTAAGTGATAAGTAATGATATTTATAACTCTACTTTTAAGATAACCTAAATGGGTGATTAGCACCCGTTTTATTTTTTATTTTTGACGAAGCTATTGCCATTTCAAGTAGCTCTGTGGAGAGCTTCGCTTCTAAATTTGTTCTGAGGACAGATAATGATGAATTAGAAGCTGGATAAAAGTCATTATCAAAAGCAATTTGTGAGATAAGGGTGCTTAAATTTTGGAGTGCTTATGAATTCACGGGAAATGACGTTTCAATAATGTTATAAAAGTGGAGTTCATTGTAAAATTATTATTAGTTATGGCTATTAAACTACAATTTTTTTGAGTAGTCAGTACACTTATAATTTTGTTTTTCCAGCCGTTACTTTTGTTTTATTTTGTTTGAAAATTACGATCAATGACAAACGGCATTGTTAATTTATTAAAGATTGGGAGTAATGTGCGTAAAAAATAGTGTTCATTGACATTTATACTTGTGACACTCATATTTTCGTAACCTTAGAGTGTTATTAAAGAATTTAATTTCAATTCACGTCCATTGCGAAAACGACAAACATTTTGCCCCTGTTTGTCTACCATTTTTCAAAAAATTGTTTTCTACAGTAAACAATCTCTACCACACATTCAAATAA